CCCTAAGCCCAAGAACCCTAAATTTGGCTCAAGCGTTCTCCTGCATGTCGTAGAGAACTGCCATCTCGTGGCACCGTTGGTATATCTCCCCTTCCTCGCAAAGATCGGCCAGGCCGTGCTCCATAAGGAAAGCCAAAAAGGTTCTTTGCTTGTGCCGAGGGTACTTCTGGTCCAAATGCCTCGGCGGGTCTAGGGTCTAGGGTTTAGGTTTTAGGGTTTAGGGTTTCCGGTTTAGGGTTCGATAGTATGCAGTCGGGGCACTCCATCCAAGCCTCGTGAGCCCCACTGAAGCGAAAGCTCGCAGGGGCCGAGTTCGGCCAGTTCCTTCCGGCAAATGTCCCTTTGCCTTGGTTCTTATCGGCGTCCTCCTTCTTGCCCTCCTTTTTGTCCTCCTTCTTGTCCTTCTTGGCGGAGCTGGGCTTCGGCTTTGCCGTTTTGGCCTTCTTACTCGGCTTGACCTTCGCCTCATCAGTCCCCTTCTCATCTTCCTTATTTCATGATGCATGCAAGCAGCAAAGTCGCACACTCAAGTGGTAATTCAGAAAAGGCTCGGCCTGCGGGTGCACAAAGCACCGAGCCGTCTGCACCAGATGCGAGGTCTCCTCATCCGACGAATCCGACGAAGACAAAGCAATGGGTTCCTCAGATTTCAACAAATATATCTGTATCATGTGCCTATATATATATATATTTATTTATTTATTTATTTATTTATTTATTCATTTATGTACTTGAAAAACACTCCTGCCACCGTACATCTCAGCCCTGGGCACACCCAAAGACTCTGGCGTGGGCTTCCTTGTACTTCTCCTCGGCGGCCTGCCGAAGCACAACATCTGTTTATATAGCACACAAATAAGTGGCACAGCCTGTCTTGCAGCTGACGTGTCGCTGCCGGAGGAGGCAGCCTTCCTGAGGCACAAGCTTGCTATATCCCGGCTTTCCCCTATAGTAACGACCAGTCTTTGTGGATGATTGCAACCAAAGAACGGAGGGGGCAGCAACTTCTTGCCCGAAGGCCACTTGGCTGTTGCCTTCATCATCTCCGCCTGTCTGAAGGCTTTCTCTCTATGCCAGCACCGACTCCATGCCCAGAGGGATAGGGAGGGCCGATGCGAAACACCCCCCAGCACAGCATGAGCCCAAGCAGAGGCAGGCAGCACAGGATCGAGGTGCCAAAGGTGACTGCCGATGCAAAAGACCCCACCATAGAACGAGCACAAGCAGATGCATGCAGATTTTTTTCAGGCACAAAGGATAGAATCATGGGCAAGCCTGCCCAGACGTGAAGTCAAGCTCCAGATGCTCCGGCTCCACTTGCTCAGGCCTGGGATGTTCTACAAGCAATGGTTGATGGGGTGTTTGAGTCTATGGCTAGATTACTATACAATATATTTGCAAGCTGGCCACGGCGGAGCAAACGTCGAGGAGTCCACTTCTGGAGCCGCCTTGCACACCTTCCGTTTATTTCGCTTTTGCTTTTTCGGCCATTGGATCATCCTCAGATCGACAAGAAGCATTCAAGGATTGGTTTTGAAACAACTAAGTTGCAATGCAAGGAGCTTGCTCTTCAGGCGGTCGATCTTCTCACTGTGAGATGACCTTGGGTTCGCTTTGCGAGGTCTCGGTACAAATCTCGAGGCCAAAACTCATCACCGGATGTAGCCTTAGCCAAGTCGCTCCGTTTTCTCCAAAAGTCGTCTCACACGACTCAGACACTGCTTCAGAATCTTCGCGATGACCTTCCTTTCCAGCTCTGACAGCTGGGATCCCTCAGCTCCTTTGTCCACCTTAGATATTTGCTGAAGGAATAGTGGCTCTTATTATGTGTGCCATGTCCAATTCATAGTCGAGGCACTGCCAGCTCAAAGACCCGAGGAGCTGGAACTTTGTTGATCTGCACACTGCCTGATAGTAGCATATGTCTTGCTGAATAAAGAATCAAATATGCGATCCAGGGCTCTGAGACCGTCCATGACCGAGTCTGCCATGCTGAAGGCTTCATGCTCGATGAAGTCCAGTGGCAGGTCCCCGCTCTCGGGGTGTGCAAACCGCCAACAGTTTGGCCAAATGCTCGTCAAGCCTGAGCTTGATGAGTTCAAGCGTGCGATTTCTGTGTCTCTCTCTCGCTGCTATAGGACCCCGGCATGCCAAAGGCTTCAAAATCGGCCTCAAGCTCAAGGCCATTGTCAAAACCACCTCGGAAAATCCAGGTTTGGCCCAAGTCTTTATAAGACTCACCACATGTATCCAAGCAAGTTGCATCTTCATCGGGCGAAAGAAAAACTTCGCCATCCTCCCACCAGAAATATTAAACCGTTTTCAGAACTTCGGAACATCTTACATCTGCAAACACTCCAGTCCTCCGCCATGGCGACACAGCTGCCCGGCTCGGCACAAGGGCTTCCTAAGCCTGACCAAAAATATATATATAATGCCCTTGGGCAATGCCCTTAACCGCCCATACGGGCGATCTATGTGCTCTGCTGGCTGAATCTATGATCTCTTAGAACTTCTCACATGCATTCAAACACCGCTTTGTTTTGAGCTTCTGGGCTGCATTTTGCGGTTCACACGGCCACATGCACGACACCTGCTGGCATTTCAATCATGCAGGGGGCACCCTCTGGCTTCGGCAGCACCAGCTTCAGAAAGCGATTCATGCAGCTGCTCGGCACCGCATGCCATCCTTTAATCTAGAGCTGCTTGCT